TTGTAAGCTCTTAAGGTTTGACAGTCGTGTGGAAATGGTACAGTTATGATATAGACCTTTATCATGCTGCCACCATTTCAGTCACGTTCCCTGTATCAAATAATAGTACTGAATGATAATGGTTTTTGTGCAAAAAGGAAGCAGACTATTTTTCTTCCAGCCTCGCTTTGGTTACGTTGATTTGAATGGGAAAAATCCAAATGGCCGCAATATGATAATGGTCTTTTAGACATACTATCAAGCCTTTAGATATTTTATAGGCCTGTAGGATAATAATTTTTACGAATATTTCATTACGGATATAATATTCGTACCAGAGGCAATCGCCACCAATGATTTACTATTTCAACCAGCAGAAATTACGTCAGAGGTTTTGCGACACTGCAGGAATTTAGATATGGCATTTGGTTTATATTCGAATAGATGTACCACATGGTTTTCTTCCACTTTAGAACAGTTTTACAGTACGGTTGCTTTCTGCAGAGTAAAATCACGAGTTGAGGAATGTTTTGTCTTGCGATAAAACTGAACTTATTTTTTTCTAGCAGCTAATGCACATCTGGTTTACTCATATAAGTGGCGTCGACAAATAACCAATTGCTTAAACCTCTGATGCAAATAACCTCTTGTGATTTAAACTATAGAAATATGTATAAGGTTTGAAACATAGGGATCGAATTGTATGCAGCACCGCTACAACGAACATCACTATTTCGAACAAAATTTGGCTATAGCACAGACAATATTCTATGCTGACAGATTTTATGTAGGCCTACACTTTTATAACATGCATTGGTAGAGAAAATTCGCGATTTAACGGAGCAATCTTCTTTGTGGACTCCAGACTGTTTTCTTTATAATTATAGCGACTTTCTATTAAGTGCACTGCAGTGTTTCTGTAAGAAATCTTACCCTGTGTGGAATGCAGAAACCATGAATGAATGAGTAAAATTGGCGTGACGATTGAAATATGCAGATAATAACTGCCGGTGTTTTTAGGGGACGATCCCGGGAAAAACATCCCCCGACTGGTCCAATTGTACCAATATAACCCCGCCCTTTCCCTCATCCACACAGGACGGCGTTGTGCCTTGCGTTTTCACCAAACAACCATCTTCCCACTTAGTACGTGAGCAAATTGCACATATTCAATTAAACTACACGTCTATAAATATTACAGAATTGTTCAACGATACTTCGTAACCGTCAACCGAGAAGAGAAATGACTTCCAGCCAAATTGATTTTGTCTCCAATTTGTTTTGAAAAAAAAAATCATCATTTTGACTCTATTTTTGAAACTGTTATATAATTATTGATTTCTTCAAGTGATATAGTAAAACAAGCCTCCCAAGGTGATTCATGGAGCGTTTGAATTGGGAAAATAGAACACTCTACACACGTCACTGAGGGAGGCTAATTTTACTGTGCATGTTATAACAATCAATATTCTCATCAGCATTTTTGGTCGTCGGTCGTCTCAGACGTCTTGCCTGGTGTCCTTTTGTAGCTACATTGTATCTGTCTGAATGACTCTTTGACTCAGTGACTGTCCCTTGTAAGCCGGGCAGTGCTATTGTATAGGATTGACCCGTAACGCCAACGAATGGGCTAAATCTGGCCCATTGTGTGTACATGTATACAGATGCATGAAAAGACTTCCAGTGAATTGACATTCTGCGTCAATTGAGTATAATTTTGTGGGCTTTGGGGCCTTGTCTTGTCTTGTTTAACAAGATACATGATTCAGTGGCGCACCCAGGATTTGGCTTCACACTTCTTCTTTTTTTCAATTTTTTTTAGAAGTTTAATTTTTTTTTTTTAAATGTTGCTCAAATTTTTTGGCGGCAGATATTGTTTTTTTTTTTTTTTTTTTTTTCAAAATGTCAAGTTGAAATGTATAATTCAGCGGAATCTTTTTGAGTTTCTCAAAAACTACGTGGGAAAAAAACAAATCCAGATGAAGATTAATGTATTTATAGCAGTGCGTCATCTTGACAACAGATCCCTTCGTGTGGATTAGTCAAGGCAGTTTACCGGCTTACACCACTGCGAATATCGCATTATGAATTCGAAAGGAGCTCGAGTGATTGACTTGAGTATAGAAAAGTAGAAACAAAATGCTGGAAATGCATAGTTTAGGAACCATGATGATTGCTTCGTACTGACCTGCTGAACGCTCGTTGTGGAATTACCAGTTAGCCATTGAGCCTTTGCAACCGCCTGAAACCCTTTTGATGTTGCGTCGCGGCTGATTAAATATAAGCACTTGTGACGTCATTTATGACGTATGGCTGCTTTGTGTATACCGCGGTATCACTGATTAATTTTACATACAGGCATTGACAATTCTTCATGGTTGTCAGGATATTAATGCACTGATAAATCGTTGGCATGGTAACCGTTTGTATACTGTAGTCTTTGGTTTTGAATGTTCACAGCGTAAATTTGTTGGATGTGTATTATACATATTTGCATTTTCGAATGAAAGTAAATGCAATTTAACAAATCGACCCAAAAAAACCCCGAAAGATTTAAATGTTGCACAATATACAGTGTACAATTAAAAGACATTGACACGGGAATGAATTTTAGACGGGTCTTATTTAGTTCCAAATACAATGGTTTTTAGCAGATTATTATAAGTATCAGTAGTAGTAACCAAGCGGTTCTGAATTGCTAGTCAACGAAATTGGGTTAAAGGTTTCCGTTTATAGCCAACTTTTGTAACACTACTTTGGTTACATTCCGTATAAACCTCTAGGGAAGTGCATCATCCAGAAATTGCTTGTGACTAAATGTCTAATGTTATCATGTATAATTATGAACACTTTGTTAATAAAACCAAGATATTATTTGGGAGAGTCAGCAGCATTGAGGTTGGATATAAAAAATGTCAGAAATCATACAATACAATTGCAGATTCATACAACCTCACATCACGATGCAAACACATCTACATAATTTTCGCTTTTACATGCTGTTCATGTAAGAAACTTCATAAATTAAATTCTAGCACATCGGATCCCAGATTTGTATTTTTTAAAATGTAGTGGGCTCACAGTTTTCCAGCCAAATATGGACTGGTCCTTTGATGAAGAAACTAAATGTCACATGCTAAGTGTGTTGGGGATTCTGGAAACCCTATATCGTTTATAGATTCTTGCATGCATGGCGGCCATCTTTGAGGTGTGTGCTTTTATACCACAGGGATACGCATGAGTAGCACTGATCTCTATATAAAGACTGGATAGCGAATAGAGAGCCGCACAATGAATGCATTTGACGCCATATTGGTGAGCCCGGTGAGACCGCGGCTGGTGATCTACACAGGACAAGTTGCCGTCTTTATAGACAACATGATTGCTTTTGTAACATCGCGGTTCACTTGACTTATATTTTGACCACCACCACTGACCAAGGTTTACAATTTTTCTAACGACGTGATTTACTTTTGTTAATGCCGCAGTTCACTTTTTCGGCGTTTTGGAAATAATAATCACTACGGAAATGTGTCCCTTTTAGAACATCATAATATGTGTACGTGACTAAAGTGCGCGTCAACTGTTGATACAACGCGCGCGTATATACGCGCTGAACGTTCGTATTATACGCAGCCATCTTCGTGAGACCGGGGGCGAATTGGTCAATATGCAAAGTCTACTGTGTGAATGCTGTATGGATATCCGCTATCCAGTCTTTATATAGAGATCAGTGATGAGTAGACCTCTTGTGTATTCATTGGGTGCGTTCGAGCTTGTTACTCGCGCTAACACGAGTATACTCTTAAGCACACGAACGGCAGGGGTACGACCCCAGAGTGTACTCCCGCTCAGACTGGGAGTATGCTCTAGCACCGAGAGTAATGCACACGCAACATTTTCTTGCACTTGGGAGTAGCAAGAGTAACACGCTCGAACGCACCTATGTTACTGAATTAAAATTACCCAAAATACCATCAAGATGGCAGCTCTATGTAAACGGTCTATTGCAGCTGTATATACAACAAATCTATATGCTTTTGTTTCAAAAAGGGAACATGCATGATTTGTAAACACAACTGGAAACCTAATTATTACATACATTTCCCATTATTTACATATTATAGTCCATGCAATATGCATGAAACTGCATCACAGAGGACTTTGAAAAAAGTAATAAACGGAACTTGCATTGTAGCAATTTCTGTAATAAATAAAATGGTATGGATAGAAAATTAATATCTAGAATTGAACAATATTTACATTTTATGAATATAATAAATAATTTACTGTCCAGCCCTACATTATTTTAACACTAAGCGTGTGGTAAATTCAGCCTAGGAAATTAATATTAAAAGTAAATTTCGTGACTATTTAGACTCTTGTTTATCTCAGAGTTAATACTTTGAGTAGGTTGCACTTACAAAAAAAATACCGAAAATAAATCTTAAATAAATTGTCTTTAATATCTGATATTACATGGCGGCCATTTTGTTTTTAAGTAGGATATTTCAACCTCGTCCCTCCCCCGATGTGTCTTCATTACTGTCGCCTACCGTTTACACAAATCACATTCCCCTTGTCACAGCACCTTCAGATAACAAGCCTATAAATTGATTATCCATAACACAGCTCCGTATAACGATACACTTTTCTTTATTGTTTCCAAAATGCATTCCTATGAGGAGTGAATTTTTTTGGAATGGTTTTGGGAGGTCTGGACATACCTTAAAACTGGATCCAAACATGTGAAAGAAAATTCAGCACTTTAGTACATGTCTATTAAGAGGCAATTTCATCATCTGAACATAAACCCTGACAGTACATGACATTGTATATCTAACTGATCTTTCTCAGCTATTTTATCATCACTTCTTTCAGAAAAACAGACAGTTCAGGGTTTGGAAAAAATGTTGCAACCTGACGTTTTTCAGCGGTTGTGTACATAGTCTATGGAAAGTATTTTCTAACAAAATGTTCCTCAGTCCCAGATTCGTGTCTTATCATTTTTGCAATGACTGACCTTCATTGAGATGATATATTTATGAAGAAAAAAGTGGCGTCAGGTTGCAACATTTTTTTCACAGGGTTTCTTAAGTACAAAGCTTGGTCAATATTTTATCTGATTATTGTTATTACTTGTACTAAATGTATTGCGACCTAAGATTTGAAGGTTTTATGGTGAGATCAGGTATATATTTGTAGCGACACCGTGGGACTATAAATCTTTTTTGTGAGTTAAGTGTGGTTCTAAGAAGAACATGTGAAGACTCAACGTTTCGTGCAGTGTACTTTGTTCGTCGTCAGGAGACGAACGAAGCAAACGACGAACATAGCATGTTGGTCGTAAGGTTGAGTTTGGTTCTTCTCAGAACCAGACTTCTCAAGAAGAGATTTATTATCCCATGATTTCACCGCGAACTATTATTACAACCTAGTTTAATAATCTCTCTCTACCTCCGAACCTTGCTCGATTATATCAGGTGCATGGACCTCCACGTACATCGGTGGGACCACAGAGCCGTTACGGACCGACATGTTAGTGGTACCTTGTCTCGGCGTACTGGTCGTTGATAACTCTAGCTGCGTCACGTTACTGTCCGCTCGGAAGGCCGATAGTCGGGTCCATTTGAGCAGCTTACGGAAAGCCCGACGGAACTCGCTGTTGAGAGCTGCGTAGAGGAGGGGGTTGAGCATACTGTTGACGTAACCTAGCCACAAGACTACCATCTCAAGGGTCTTGGGCACCACAGCTCCTTCGAAGACCCTAATGAAAGTGAAGATGCTGAAGTAGGGCACCCAGCAGATGACAAAGCATCCCATGATGGTAGCTAGCATCTTGGTAGCTTTGTGTTCGTCTACCACGGCGTGGTTGCGTGCTGCCAGATCATGGTTGCGTGATGAGTGAGCACGCGTGGAGGCCGATGTGGATGATTCGCCTCGTGATGATGTGTGACCGTTCTCACGCAAGACTCTCCTCGCAGGTTGCAGGGCACAGGTCTGTGAGTTGATGGTCCTTGCCTGCTTCCGAGCAATCATAAGGATTCTAAGATACAGGCTACACATTACAGTCAGTGGAAGGAAGAACAACATTATACCGTCTATTAGACTGTACATTTTGTTGGACTCCAGTCCGCATTTGGTAGGATCTTCGTAGTTTTGTACCGAGCCATCCCCGGTGTTCCAGCCAAGATGTAGAGGCAGGAATGAGATAAACAGAGACACCACCCACATGAGGTTAATTATCAAAAGTGCCTTACCTCGTGTGAGCCTCTGGTGGTACGCCATGGGATCCGTTATAGCCACGTACCTGTCGATACTGATACCGAACAGATTTAAGATGGAGGCTGTGCAAAACATGACGTCACAGGAAACATAGAGGTTGCATAAGACAGCCCCGAACGGCCAGCAACGCCAGACTTCCAAGATGGCGCTGAATGGTAACACGACTATTCCCAACAGGAGATCGGCAACCGCTAGCGACACGATGAACAACCCCGTCACGTTACGCAAACGTCTGTTGACGGACGGCGCCAAGATGACGAAGATGTTGCCCACGATGGTCATGACGATAATCAGGAACAGAATAACGCCAATGAGAACCAGCACGGGGACCGACCGTCCGTTGAACAGCGGGTTGACGCCAGCGTCTTCGCCTGGCGTCCCCCGTGAAGAGTTGACCACAAACACGGTGGTCGGGTAACAAGATGGGGCATTAACCTGGCTGTACTTCACCATCTCGTACACAATCCACGAACCTCTTCAGATGATGATGCTATCTGTGTGCAGAATATTCAGAGACGCTGCACTTAAACGGCACTGTTGCTACAGCCTTCAATCAGGCTATTTTTACTGACAAAATTCACTCAGTGGCTCGCTTAAATTACAACAAGTTGAATTCTAGCATCCCAGTGCATCTCTATTTGAAGTGATGAAAGTCCACTCTCCGAGTCCACAACAGCTGTAAAAACACTGCTTTATAGGTGAGCGCAAATAGCCAAACAAATATAGTGGAGAATGGTAATTAAAGTCAACAGCAGTCACCTGAATGTACCTGCATGTCTCGTCCTAACTCGATATATCCAACAGAACATGTTCCGCATCACCAACAACAAGCGTAGCTTCACCGTGTTGGTATCTACCTGCACATCTGCCGTACAGTGGCGCCAGTTGTCCTACTACATGTCCCCTCCCGTTCGGCGAGATATTAAACTGCACTGATTGCAGTCCACGTGATGTTCAAAGCATGGCAACTCCACAGCACATGGTGAGGACACAAAACCTGAAGAAATGAGAGAAATATTTAATGTCAATAGCTGGTACCGCCCAGACCATTAATAGCGCGTTCCGGACTACAGATGCGGAAGATAGGATGGGAGATCCTTTGCAAGCCAGCAGGGGAACAGCATGTCTGTCTGGTGTATGCAGCATGGCTAGTGTTGCATGCGCTACATACCGCGCGCTGTCAGGTATTGAAATGGTAAACCTGCAACGGGCGCGATTGGCATACCACCGGTTCAACCCTTGGTGACTTCAGACGCCGCGCTGGATCTGCGTGCCTCGAACAATGGGGCGTCTTGCAATCACGTAGTGGATCAATCGAGGTTCGATGAACGCCCATTATTTTGAGAACGGGTGTCTTCGGCACGTTGCCTCGATGTGTGGTGTCACTGCATCTAAAATAGCTCCGGTACCCGTGAAAAAAACCGACATAGATCACTGCATTCGTAATCGTACTTGACTTTAGTACTTGACTCTAGACAAATTCTTGTACATATCACACAGGGATTATGTTAAGTGCTTTTTTTTGGGAGAGATGCAGGTTGCACAAACCTATTCAAGACTCCAAGTTATAGTATCTGCGCATATCAGTGAGTATGACGTGATTCGTTCAAGAGACTGTACGTGATTGGTTAAATAACTTCCATTGGATTTAACAGTTAGGCTTAATTTACCCCTGTTGTTGCCTATTGAAGAAAATGCGAAATTCCGTGTGGGAAAAGATATGAAATACATCGTTAATGATGTTATTACACTCTATTATACTGATACATGCTCTGCTTTTATCACGTGTAATGTGCACGTTTTAAATGATGTCTATACTCGTCACTGTGTATGTATTTGATTAAGGTTTGCTAGAAAAATTGGAACCCCAGTGTGAGATTTGGAATCACATTGTGGTGATTGTATGTGAAGGATCCGCACGTAGGCGAACGTGTGGCGTTGATGCTATCAAATCCCTCGACGGAGCGTCACGGTCACATGACCTCTAGGGTAGCCTTGCCCGCCCCCAAGCGGGCACATCTGGAACAGTGAGGTCAAACAACGATACTAATCAGGACTGTGACACATCCAATGTGACGAACCCGCCTCCCAGGGGAATGAACATTGTCAACTGACGCCCTTTGCCTATGTTTCGCCACTGTTATTATCAGGTCTCTAATCAGCCTGCCGACCAGTATAATACTGATAATAACATCTAGCATGCGAAATCTAGTTTGGCTGAAGGACGAAGGGAGATATCTGATTAAAAATAAATCGTCACTTTTTGAATTAAGCGATATCATTATTCGTGACGATAATTATCTTGCATAATCGTACTTCCACATTACTAACTTCTATGAACAATCTAGTACTGTATTACAATGACCTGAATTCAACATTGAAATGAATCCAGCATGAATTGTGTTTTGTTGTAGCTTGGAAATTGAAGTTTATTCGACAAAACAATCTCTAAAGTTAATAACAGGGCTGAAATTCATTGACAATTCAATAGTGGGGTTGGTTTACAAGGAAATATGGCGCGTTAATTGTTATAATTACACCATGCTGCGCGCGTCATGTCCTTTTGATTGACAGCGCACGTGTAAGGTTATTACTTCCTCATCCATGCCTATGGCGTCGGCGAAACATGCAAGGTATACATAAAACAATATTTCCAAAATCTAAACCAATTTTGAGATGGACATTTTAAAAAGAATACAACATTTACTTTGCAGTCTTGTTTTTATTTATATCAAATCGCAAAAATTCATAAATATTGAGCATTACTCAGTTTATTCAAACTTTATTGCAGCGTTCTAAAGAAAGCGTCTGTTGAAGTTTTTTTTTTTTTAATCTAATTTATTAACTGTATATACGTTTTCACACTCGGGGTTTTTCACCGCACAGTTTTTGTTTCAGCTGAGGAAGTTTTTATCAAGATGATTCGATTTAATTTGCAATATTGGCAAAAGGCTTCGGCCTATAGGCGTCGCTTTGGTCAATCTCCATTAGATCACTCAGGCGTGAAAGACACCTTATCAAATTTATGTAAAGCAACATGCATCACACCACGGAAGTATTAATGGACGTTTGATCGATTGTAAGAAGATCTGTCAGAAAGGTTTGAAACGGAAGATGTACAATTTTCTTAACAAGCTTCTTCGTTCGTGTTTACATAGAGTTGCATGCTCATTTACGCCATTCTGATTGAAATGTAAGTGCAGCACCAGGGTAGGCAATTTATTTTTCATCAGAGGTCGATAACATCTTTGGCCAGAGCACATTGGTTGAATAGATTGAACCTTGTGCATTCGTTTAAATACTTTCAATTTAAGAACTTCGACAATTGACAGGTGGAGGCAATTGAATACGTAGAGAGCCATGTACAGACACAGACAAGTGGCCACTTTGGACAGTTTTATAGTCGAAATATGGTAATGGCGCGTATTGCGCATAACCCCTTTGGTTGGAGTGTCCGTATTAGCAATGAAACGGATTGGTATAATGAGTTTAACCTTCAGAGACAGCGAGGCTGTTGACGATTCAAGAAATTACGCGATGGTCAAAATACTTCAACTCGAATATCACAATGATGCTGGGGAAGAATCACTCAAAAATACTGTCACTTTTTTGGCATGAAGTCTGAAATCAATTTCTCTCGCTTTTTCGCTCTGATCAGATCGTCGTATAACTAGACTTGCAACCAATTGCACTGGTCTATAGAAGTATTTCAGTCAGAAGCGCAACGTCGGCTGTGTATCCGAGATTCATGAAAACGTCTTGATTGAAGACTGCGGTAGACTGTAGTCAATCGCTCGCGGTTGGGTGAATTTTCAGTGGAGATGCGTCTGCGCTTGGAGCGTGTGGGTGCAGTCTGGTTCCGTGCCACATTCGATCCAATCCGAATGCAACCCGCCCCTTCAATTGCCTAAGGCACGGAGCTAACTAATTGAAAATAGACTTATAAATCACCCCGGGAAAAAAATGTCCAAGCGCAAGTCAGTGAATCCAGCGGGTTATTTGCTAAGTGAACGTGGGTGTACGCACGGCTATCGCCCCGCAAGGACTTGTACCTGAATATCCCCGGAGTCTAACAATCCCGCAACGACATTTTCGTTGTTCGGGTTACCCTCCTGCGAAGACTCCAAGGGTTAATAGAAATCGACGTTAGGGACTACCCATTCCACCCGCCGCGCTACAGAGGGGAAAAATTGCTCGTTACGGCAGAAGAAAGCAATCAATCCAATCAAATGTATTTTACGAGTGTTTAGATTCTGTTTAGGAATATCTACAGGACTCAACTTTCAAAGCCCGCAAGTGAAAACCGAAACGAATTCAGATTTGGTAAGATAAGAGATTTCTTGGTATCACGAAAGTATATGGATTGCTGGGAATATGGTAGAACACATGTTGTTACTAGTGACAATAAAAACCATCAGTCATGGCTTCCCAGGGTAGAATCCGCGCTGTTTTAGTTTGATCGATAATGGTTTGCGTCAGCAAGGACGGTGTTCGAACGGCCAGTAAACTCTGGTCACCTCAGTACCATGGAATGGACGACACCACTGTAGCAGTGTTGTGATACCTGCAAAATAAATGAATAACGCCCTCTGTATAGGATATTAAGTGGCAGGCTAGATCTATACCAATTAAATCAATGCAGTTTAGATCGAACACGAACCGAATATTAAGGTATAGTTATTGTTACAAAGTCTTATGCATAGGAGCAATATGTTAAATTGTTATTGGAATATGTTAATACGTGTACTGACTCCTATATATTCACAACAATCATACCAACCAAAAAGGCCTATGCGGAGTATTTTGGTATAAACTGCATTTATATATTTTTGGTATAATTGCTTTTGTACATTTTTGGTATAAATTGCTTTTATATATTTTTGGTATGAATTGCTTTTAATACATTTGTGAGGAGTCATTAGTTTATAATTATCGTCGAAAATTTTTCAATTAATGTATTAAGTTTTACACTTCTAAATCATAGCAGGTGAGATTTGAATGGTATTTTTTTTTCTATTTGTGGCAATGATAAGCTGTTTTCTTTGGATCCTTGTATTTTTCTTTCCCAAACGTGTTTGAGCGCGCAAACTAAAGCTTTTATCACACAATGCTGGTGCCGCTGGCCTTATCCTATTCACACATCTTTCCCTAGACACGCACTCTTATCCACGCCACAAAAAACTCTTCCTATGCTGCAATCACCTGTAATTTCTCCCCTAACGCGTCAAACTTGTCTCAAACCGCGTGTTTCGTGTGGTAAAACCATCCCCGGTTTTAGCCCGGGGAGGGAAGACCGCACAATGCGCTGACATTTCCGCGGACGCAGAGGCTCGGCGTTGGCCAGTCACGCCTTCCGATGCCGCGAGCGGTTGATATGTACCCCTTCGTTCCAAGGTGTCAAGAAAGCCTCTCTCGAGTGGCCTCTTTCTTAGCCACAGACGTGATTGAGAACCCCGCTCGTGTTCCATTCCGTTCACCTGCAAATTAATTCTCGGACTGTGTACCGTCTTTTTGAGACGCCGTTTTTCAGAAGATGTGACATGCAAGTGGATGTATTATTTCACCAGTGTAATTGTTTGGCACGGATTTCCGCGACCTATCCGCTACTGGTCATGTTGCTGTAGGAGGACTCGGTCTTCCTGTTATGAAACTATTCGTGACGCAACTCTTTCCAATTTGACGTTGTTAGTATCGTTTTGTGTCAAGAAGAAATAACGCTTTGAAAGATCTATGCTATTGAGAGCCTTTGAAAAATAATTTTGAAGGTTTGTTCGCGGGCGGAAGCCGGAACTCCAAACATGAATTGTACAATTGGTATCAAATCCGGCGCAGATATGAATTTACATTATAACAACATAACGAAACGCAGCTCTTTTTCTGTGCTTGTTCCTCTCTTTTTGTGTTTCATTCAAGACAATATAACGTACAGAAGGTGGTATCATACCGCAAAAATAGGGGAGGGGGATATGTGTAAACTTCCACTATTCCAATGGTGTCGATAATATTTAGTTTTCTCTCTATGTATTATGGTACACTAAGAACCAACAATTTGTCTTAAAGGGAATGTACAACATTTGCTTTTGCTGCAATTTTCAGAAATAAATGGATTTGGAGGATTAGTATGTTATAGCAAATATTGTTAAAATGACTTGTTTCACGATTTAGGCTTGTAGATGCTGGAAAAACCAAGAAAACCAATCATGTTCTTGTAGTCTGGTTCCCTGACCCCACTTAAGATGAAACAGAGCAATTTATAAACTTTGCGGAATTGTAAGGTCAGAGAATCAGTCTAGCAGGCTTGTACCCCTTCACAGGTGTGTAATCTATTGCAAAGACAACGCGAAATAACT